TAGACAGATCATCAGGACAAAGAATCAGCAATGAGATCCAAAACCTCAATGTGACTCTTGATCAAATGGACTTAATTGATACCTACACAACCCTCCATCCAAAGACCACAGAATATACATTCTACTCATCACCTCAGGGAACGTACTCTAAGATTGACCACATACTTGACCATAAATCAAGCATAAGCAAATTTAAAAGGACTGAAATTTTACTGTGCACCTTCTTGGACCACAGTGGAATAAAAATAATCATTAACACCAACAAGGTCCCCCCAAACCCACCAAGATGTGGACACTAAACAGCATGACGCTAAACAACTCCTGGGTCAATGATGAAATCAAAACAGAGATCAAAAGATACCTGGAAATAAATGAAAGTGAAGAAACATCTTACCAAAATCTCTGGGACGCCATGAAAGCTGTAGTAAGAGGGGAATTTATATCCCTACAAACACACATGAAGAAAGTGGAAGGATCACAAATTAACAGCCTAAGAAGCCAACTAAAAAAGCTGGAAAAGCAAGACCACAAAAACCCTAATTTCAGCAGAAGAATCCAGATCACCAAAATAAAAGCCCAAATCTAGGACATAGAAGACAAAAAGATAATACAAAAAAATCAATGAAACAAAAAGCTGGTTCTTTGAAAGGATAAACAAGGTCGATGGTCCCCTAGCTAGACTGACCAAGAAAAAGAGAGAAATAGCCCAAATAAACACAATCAGAAACACAAAAGATGAAGTCACATCTGATCCTGAAGAAATACGAAAGATCATTAGAGACTACTATGTACACTTGTATGGAAACAGACTTGAAAACCTTTTGGAAATGGAGGACTTTCTGTCATCAAACAACCTGCCTAGGTTGAAACAAGAAGAAATTGAGGCCCTAAGTAGACCAATAACAATCAAGGAAATTGACTATGTAATAAGAAAACTACCTACAAAAAAAAAGCCCTGGACCAGATGGCTTTCCAGCAGAATTCTACAAGACATTTAAGGAGGAGCTTATACCAATCCTCCTGAAGGTATTCCAGGCGATTGAGAAAGATGGAACTCTCCCCAAATTATTTTACGAAGCTAACATCACATTGATACCCAAGCCAGGTAAAGACCCAACAAAGAAAGAGAAATACAGGCCAGTATCTTTGCTAAAGTTCTCAACAAGATCCTAGCAAACTGGATTCAACAACACATCTCAAAAATCATCCATCATGACCACGTGGGCTTCATCCCTGGGATGCAAGGCTGGTTCAACATTCATAAAACCATAAATGTAATTAAATACATCAACAGATGTCAAAACAAAAACCACATGATTATATCATTAGATGCAGAAAAAACTTTTGATAAAATCCAGCATCGCTTCTTGATAAAAACCCTTGAACATCTAGTCATATGGGGAACATATCTCAAAATAGTAAAAGCCATCTACGAGAAACCCACAGCCGGCATACTCCTAAATGGACAAAAACTGGAACCATTTCCCCTGAAAACTGGAAAAAGATAAGGATGCCCACTCTCACCCCTCCTGTTCAATATAGTATTGGAAGCCCTGGCTAGAGCAATTAGAGAAGAGAGGGCAGTCAAGTGTATTCAAATAGGAAAAGAGGAAATCAAGCTATCTTTCTTTGCAGATGACATGATCGTGTACCTTGAAAACCCAAGAGAATCTGTCAAAAACCTCCTTACACTGATAAAGGACTTTGGCAAAGTCTCAGGATATAAAATAAATGTGCAAAAGACAGTCGTATTTCTTTACACCAATAATAAACAAACAGACACCCAAATAAAAAGTACAATTCCATTCACAATAGCCACAAAAAAAAAAAAGAAATACCTTGGCATCTTCCTAACCAGAAACGTGAAAGACCTTTACTATGAAAACTACAAAACACTGCTCAAAGAAATCAAAGATGATACAAACAAGCATGGGAAAAATATCCCATGCTCATGGATTGGAAGAATCAACATTGTGAAGATGTCCATCTTACCTAATGCAATCTACAGATTTAATGCAATACCCATCAAATTACCAGCAACA